AATCGTAAACCTTTATTTAAAAAAAAGTAATAATTTACTTTTTTTAAAGTACACAGAGAAAAAAAGAAAAAAAATTTAAACAGAAACAACAACCCCCCTGGTCTTTTCCTATCATACACTTAAAAACAGGAAGAGTGAATAAACAAATACGGAGAACAAAATGGCAAAAAATGGCAGGTGATCTTTACATATCATTGTCAAAACCTTAGCCTATCTGTTAATAAAAAAATAGCAACCTGGAAATGATTGGAAGTATTACTAATTACTTATAGTTTGCAGTGAAAATTGCAAAAAACATGAGAAAGAAAAGAGTTTTTACAAAACCTACAGACTTATATATAATCACAAATAAACTAATTAAAACTTTTCAAATGTATTTACCTTTACCTACTTCATTAGAATTCATCACAAAACACTTTGAAATATATTTTGGTTAAACTTTATTTGATGCTGATAAATGCTTAAAAAAAAAGCGACTAAAAGAAAACGCCTAGACAATAATTAATGATCAACTTTGTATATATCCTATCGCTTGTTGTTAAAACCATTTGCGGTTACTTAACGTTTATAATACTCACTAACCATTCAGCATTGCTAAAATAACTTTTTTAATTTATTTTGGAAGTTATGAAAATTTTAGTTTTAAACGCCTAAATCAGTCAAATACCCCACTATGCGTTTATAAACGTCATACGGACGTCAATGCCTACTGGTTTGAAGAAAAATGATTTTCAATGCTCTCAGCAAGACTACATTCAATTTAAATTAATGTCAATGCAAAAAGACGTTGTCTTGTCATTGCTAAAGATAATTTTTGATCTTTAGTTTACTCAATTTTTTATTATCATAAACATATATAAAAAGAAGAGTCAAGTTGATTTCGTATAGTATAGACATTATAGACATTTCTCTATTAGGAGGGGCGCGGGTAAGCTCGCCCCCTCCCTCCCCCCTCGTCTAAGCCATATGTTGAATACACCACTCGTCTAACACACTTCTAATTTCAATTAAGAATTGTTTTTTTTAATTTAAGAAAGTAATACACAAAGAGATTAAAAAAAGAAAAATCAGTGAAAATTAAATTTTCCACTGTTTTATACCCCTGGGTTACCTTACTTGATAGCGAGCCACTTTAGCCAATTAGGTATAACCCACCAAAATCAATTTAAAATGTCTTAAAAAACAATTATGACCTTTCAATAATGTTATTTATGGGTAATCTAACAACCTTTCTTCATAAAAAACAAAATAGAACTTGCTAAAAAGTTACACATTATAATAAAAAAAACCGGGTTTTTTATTTTAAAGTTACACATTAAAATAAAAATCATTAAGCTTGTTTAACTCAAAGTTTACGACTGCTCATAGCTATGTCATGTTATCATTTATATAAAAATAAGGCTCTTCTATATCTCCTGTAAACATAACTTTTTGTTCATTACTCTATTCATTTAGATTAATTAAAAATGAGAGTGGACTTTTCCGTCAATCAAAGTGAAATATATGTCATAGATAATTATGTGACTTTTATTGAAGATTTAATTTAAACTTTAACCTCCTCTTTTTCACTACACAATTTAAAAAAATCTTGTAAAAATATTCAATTCCAAACTGAAGATTTAATGAACACCAAATGTTAAAACTGGCTAACTTTTGACTTTTAACTGGAAGACGGTCCTGTTTTGGTAGAACGTTTTTTTAAGAACCTAACACATTATGTGGTTAAAAAGAAGTATTTTAATTGTAGAAAAAAAAAAACACGTTTTTATTTAAAAAAATCCTTAGAAAATAAGCAGATTAGAGAGCCTATCATAAACTACTTGATACTTACGTGAGAGTTGCGCAGTACTTACGCAAAATTTTGGAAAACAAAAAATTAAATGTAAAGTTGTATAATATTTGGTGGTTAACCTTTTCTTTCCCTCTTCCAAATTATTAACTACGCAAATTTTATCATCTTACTAAAAATCGTGTAAGTTTATTTTATTTTATTGAGTTGATTTTTTATTCTACCATTTAAAATTGCTTATTTATTTTTATGTAGATTACGCGAACTTTGTGTAAAATACTGTTTGCTGTTATGCTGGATTTTTTCATGTTGTTATTTCTCTTTAAGAAAACTTTTAGCTTCTCAATAAGATAAAATGGTCATGAAAATTTACTTTTGAAGCTGTTATAGTAACATAAAAAACTGCCCCAATAGTTTCAATTTAAGGCAGTAAATTGCACACAAATATTTTTTAGTTTAAAAGCCAACAGGATATATAAAAATCTAACACACTCAATACACAATACTTTCAGCGCATTTTTTTATTTTATTATTTCATATTTTCCATTAGAATTGTGTTTTATAAAGAAACTTTTTGAAAAACGAATGGTTGTTCTAAAAATATTCTCATTAGTGCATGGAAATGTGCACGGAGTAAAAATACACAGTTTTACATCTATTATTATTGTCTAACTTTTTAAAATTACCACTAACCTTCAGCCCGTTAATATA